CTCACTGAAGATGCCGTGGCGTACAACAGACATGTTCAACGTAAACATCAGATCCATCAGTCATGCAACACAGACCGTGTGCGCTCACGTCTAAATGCCGTGTGAAATATATCAATGGCAACATAATCATAGTGATTCTTCCAGTAATTGGTGCACATTGATGGTGCTTAATTAGCAATGATTGCCGGTTCAGATGGAGTTTCAGGAGCAGATATGAACCAGCTGCTGTGTCAATAGATCTGACACGCAACTGACAGAAACTGAGCCACTTGGACGTAATAAATCAATCTAACATTTAAATACGAATTTAAAAAACTGCTTCATGTTTGCCGTTAGGAATGAAACTTTATGTTGTAGCCGTTAATGTGAGGTGTTTAGATTTAAAAGGAGCAATTTTAAGCTTCTGTTTGAGGGTCTCCAAATACATTTTACAGAAATAGCAGCGTTGCCCCACTTTTAGGTATACAAAACTGCTAACCCTGGTGCCACAGGCGGCTGTGGCTCAGGTGGTAGAGCGGGTTGTCCACTGACGGCAAGGTTGGCGGTTCGATCCCCGGTTCCCCCCACATGCCGAAGTGTCCTTGGGCAAGACACTGAACCCCAAATGGCTCCCAATGGTAGATTAGCGCCTTGCATGGCAGCTCTGTCGCCATTGGTGTGTGAATGTGCGTGTGAATGGGTGAATGAGAAACATTGTAAAGCGCTTTGAGTGCCGCAAAGGTAGAAAAGCGCTATATAAGTGCAGACTATTTACCATTTACCATCACTCGCTGCAGCACACCAGCTCCCCGGTGTTGTAAATGATCTGCACTTATAATGTTCTACCAACTGAAAGCACAACACGGTGTTTTGTCATTCACACACCAAGAGCTGCCATGCAAGACGCTTGCCTTGGAGCAACGTCAGGTTCAGTGTCTTGCCCAAAGACACTTCGGCTGTGGAGGATCGAACCGCCAACCTTGCGATTGGAGGACAACCTGCTCCACCACCTGAGCCAAGTTGTACACTGGAGTAATTCTTATGTAGATTAACGTTACAACGAAAATACTCTGCCCTGGCATTGAGCTTTTTCCAGCCTGTGTTTAATTAAAAGACAATTTGTTTTCATTTTATTGAAAAAAAGTGTCAAGTATGAATTTGACGCCAGAAACACATTGTAAAAAACAAAAAGCTAAGACAGGAGCATGTTTACTGCTGTGTTGCATCACCTCTTCTTTTAACATCACTCTGTAAGTGTTTGCAAAACCTGCTGTTGTAATGATGTGCGCTGTGGTTTGGCGTTGTCTTGCTGAAACAGGCAAAACCTTCCTTTAAAACGACATCATCTGGATGGGAGCATATGTTGCTCCAAACCCTGTGTGTGTCGTTCAGCAGTAACGGGGCCTCCACAGATGTATAACGCACCCCCTCCATACCATCACGGCTGCCGGCTCTGGAACTGTGTGCTGATAACAAGCTCTGCTCTTCAGCCCGCAGGACCCAGTGTCCGTGGTTTCCAAAAAGAATTTCAAATTTTGACTCGTCAGACACCAGAATAGCTTTCAATTTTGCCTCAGTCCATCTAGAAAGAGCTCAGGCCCAAAAAAAGGCAGTGATGTTTCTGGATCTAGTTTACATATGCTTTATTTGCATGGCAGACCTTTGTGGATGCAGAGATGAACTGTGTTTGCTGTCAGAAGTGTTCCAGGACACATGCAGTGATTCCATCATAGAATCAAGTCTGTTTTTAATGCAGTGCAGCTGGACAGACCACAGCTATTCAATGGTAGTTTGCAGCTTTATCCTTTGCATCCAAAGACAGTCTCTGGGTCTTTTAGAGGTACAGTCGTGACTCGATAATCCCACACTAAATGTAAAACCTTCTTTTATGTCGGATAGCAAGGCTGTCGGATTGTCAAGACAGAGGTCCAGATACAAGGAGGGCTTGATGCTGGAAGGATCTTAAGTTGTTCATTATTGTTCATAGTTGTTATAATAACTAGTAGGGCTGGTCCCAACAGAACTTTCTGGGCTCAATTAATCATGAATATCCGAATATGCGGTGTGGTCGGGGGACACTTCCACCCTGTCGGAGCTCTCCCCCGGGTTGGAAGTGTCCAGAGCACGCAGGCAGTACTTGGCTGCTGATGCTAGTTTAGTTAGCGCTCACACTTCTGTTTCCTCCATCGGTGGTGACGGCAGCAGTGGCAGCACCACTTCCCCACCACCGCCACCATCCAGTCGCATTTAATTGGAAATATGAACGAACTCGCAAAAAAAAATCGGATTTCACAAAAAATCCGAATTGAGCTGAGCGGGCCATCAGAACCACCCTCCCCAACCTGCAGGACATCTACACCCAACGATGCAGGTCAAGGACTGTGAAGATCTGAAGCAGCCGAACCATCCTGGAAACCTTTGCTTCTCCCTGCTGCCATCAGGCCGATGCTATTGCCTAAAGATCGCCACTGAGAGAATGAGGAAGAGTTTCTTCTCTCAGGACGTCCGTTTCTTCAACTCTGAACTTTAAAACCAGACCGTGCAATTACATACGGCCACCTTTTATACATCCATCCATCCATTTTCTATACACCGCTTAATCCTCATTAGGGTTGCGGGGGGGCTGGAGCCTATCCCAGCCGACTTAGGGCGAAGGCAGGGGACACCCTGGACAGGTCGCCAGTCCTTTTATACATGCACCTTATATATCACAACAGTGTTCCACCTGCTGTATTTTATTTATTATTATTTTATTTATTTATGTGCATGTATACATGGATATATATACATATATATACTTCTTTAACACTTATTTTATTTTATTTAAATTTTTTTCTTATTGAAACTGGAGGCTAGTACAAAATACATTTCACTGCACATTGTATGTGACAAATAAAGCTTATCTTGACCTTGAACACTAAGTCCTGCAGTGTGAACGTAGCCAATCTGTGGGATTGTTCAGTCAGATAATACGCCGTCATCCTGATTGGTGACATTAAATGTCATGTTGGAGTCAGAATCCAAGGCTGTCGCTATGTTAAGGCTGTTTTCATGTGTTTTGTTCGTATTTACTAAAAACCTGTCAGATAGCAAAGTTTTCAGATTCTTAAGGGTCGGACTATCGAGTCACGTCTGTATTAGGAACCATGAATAATGAAATCTCCAAATTCTGTGCAATTTTAGTTTAAGAGGCTTCAATTCCTGATTGATCTGCCCCACAGAGCGGTGAACCTCTCCCCATCTGTAGCGGCTAAAGATTCTCTGGGAGGCTCGTTTTATACGTAACCATGACCTGTTGCGAATGAACCTCGTTAGTTGTGAGATGTTTCACCAGCTCTTCATTCTTTCATGCCACACAACTTATCCAGCTTTATGTTGCCCCCGTCCCAACTTATTTGTTGCTGGCATCACATTCAAAGTGACTGCATATTTATAATGATTTATATTGGTTGAAACAAAAGCTCGTCTCAGCTTCAACATCTGACATGTTGTCTTTGTACTATTTTCAACTACATTTAGGGTTTAAATCATTTACTCATCATTACTTTCTGCTTTTTGGTCCAACTTTTTTGGAAACTGGATTAAAGGTAAGCAATTTAAACAAATTTGTGGCGTTGGTCTGCGCCTTCCACTGACGCCTGTGTTCAGATGACAACCATTGTTCACATTTTAGAAATATGACTTCAAGGTTCCATCAGAGTTTTGCTCCCTTTGTGACAGCGGGAAACGTGGCATCAGCACAAAGTGAAAGTGTCTGCGGCAAATTGTTATTCTGAGCTAAGAAGAACTTCCTCTTCAAACCCTGGCTAGACTGAGAGTTTCTGAGGGGGCAGTGCCTGGCACTCTGCTGCGCTTTGTGGAAACTGGATCCGTTGTATCCAAAGCACGATCAGGCAGACCAAAAGTGGGCACGCCATCAGAAGATCAATACATCAAGCTTTGCTCGCTGAGAGACAGAAAAGCCGCTTCATCACAGATACAGAATTTACTAAATAAAGAATGCGAGACTCCAATCAGCAGAAGTCCTGTCAAGAGAAAGCGTCTCGCAGCAGACTGTACAGCTCCTCTCAGGAGGGGAAACAAGGCCAAACGCTTGGGGTGGGCTGAGACATTCCAGCATTTCACAGTGGGTTATGGAAAGGAGTCCTGTTTACTGATGAATGCAGTTCTGAGATCGGTGGCAGCAACTGCAGCGTTTCAAACCCACAGTGAGACACGATGCAGGAAACGTTGAAGTCTGGGGGGCAGTTTGAACACCTTCACCGAATCGGCTCCAGAAGGAACACAGCTCTTCAGAGACATGATCCACCTTCTGGTTTGAACTTTACTGCAGCGAGATAATGAGCCCAAACACGCCTCAGAGCTCTGAGTTGAAGTGCTGACTGTCACGAACTTTCCTCCACAGTCACCTGACTTCCTCCTCACTGATGGCACACTTGAAGACTGAGAAAGACAAGCACCTGCCATAAGAGGAAGCTCTGATGAACATTGTCACATCCTTCTTATCAGACTTGAGCAGAGCTGTGGCCTCCACACAGCTTCAGGGCTGCTGCTGAGCCCACCACATGTTGATGTTGTGATATTTGTAGACACAACTTTTCAAACACCCAAGCAGATGTTATCTTCTGTTATCAAAAATGTCTCTCAAATGCGAAACTAATGCAAAATCAAAGGATCTTCACTGATGGTTTCAGACCCTACTGCTGATCCGTGGCCAGTTTTTACCTTTGTCTCGTGTGTTTTGGTCTCAAATTCAAATGCCAAAGAAGTAAAAACAGAAAAAGTCGTTCTCCTGCTGAGAATGTAAATAAACATGGTTGTAGACCGTCATAGTGATGAGTGTGGTTTTACAAAGGGAAAGGAAAGCACACTTCTGTAACTTCTGCACGTCTCTGTTGTACTCGAACACGGAGCGTTTTAACCCCTCCAGCCTTGTCTCAGTTGTTTCCTGTTTCAACGTCCTCGACACGCTTCAGTGTGTAGAAACGACTTTTGTTCACACAAATCTCGATCTATCCTGTTGGCAGGGAGGAGGAGGAGTTACTGTGGTTTTGGTCACAGTTACATTCACCCGACTGCACTTCTGCATTTCACACAGAAGCCAAACATGGCCAGCGTTAACATGACAGCAGAGCGGAGCCTGCCATACGCTGCAGTCTTTGGGTCCGTTATAGCGCTTGGTCTACCTCTCAACGCCGTGTCTCTGTGGATTCTGCTTCGCCACCACAGCCTCAAGTCCCCCAGCACCGTCTTCATGGTCAACCTGGCAGTCTCAGACCTGCTGCTCGTCATCTCTTTGCCCATGAGGGTCTATTTCTACGCAACGGGCACGTGGCCCCTCGGCAGCATGGCATGCATCTGGATCACGATGCTCTTTCGAAACAACATCCGCTCCAGCTCCATCTTTATCACCTTCATCAGCGTGGACCGGCTGCTGGCTGTAGTTTATCCTCTGAGGTCACGGCATCTTCGGACCTCGTCCAACGCCTGGAAAGGTGCTGCGCTCATTTGGCTGATTTTGTTGGCGGTGAACGTCCCAGAGAGTGTGTTTTTTTCAAGGAGTGCAAACAAGGAAAATGTGACTTCCTGTTTTGAATTTCCTGAACATATGGATAAGGAGATTCACAAACCAGGAATTGAATATTTTCAGCTTGTGCTGATGTTCACCATGCTGACAGTCAACATCGTGTCCACTGCTCTGGTGTCTTGGACGCTACGGAGACATCTGAATGACTCCGCACGGGTGAATAACAAAGTGAACGTCATGCTGCTTTTTGCCATGAACCTGATCATGTTTACTGTGTTCTTCTTGCCTGTGTCCTTGGTTGTTTTGTTCAAGAACGAAGGGAGAGGTGCTTTGACCTGTCTTGCTAGCGTGAACTGCTGTCTCGATCCACTGTTGTATTATTTTTCCTTTGATGGCTTCTGGAAAAGAAAAGAGTGTCCTGAAACATCTCTTGAACAAATATAGACTGTGGCAGGTTGAATGGTGTTTGGATAGATTATGTACTGATTAGCTGTGAGATTGTTCTGCGTAAAGGTCTGACGGTGCAGCACTGAATGTAGCGCTCGAGCAAAAAACTGTTGGTTGACCTAAAACAGAAGCAGAGTTATTTTGGGAACTAAAGCAAAAAGAAAGCACCTACTTTGACTAATTGTATTTATGGATGTTGCATTCTAGATACTGTGAAAATGTGAAGCTGTTTAGAAACTAGAAACAGAACTGTCGATCTGAAAACCAAACCTGGAGTTTAGTCGCTCTGCAGTGCCTCTGTGGTCACATCAAGCTTTTTGTCTGGTTAACTTGTCCATATGGTGTTTTTTAAATTATTATATGCTGGAACCCACATCATAAGCTACATATCAGTCTACCGATGCATCTTTCAAGAATTACAGTCCTCTATAACTAAACCGTCTTTTTGTTGTGCAAGAAATGTGATTGTGTGGCGTAACAAATGTCATTTTTATTGGACGGTGAAACTGTGATGTGGAAGGAAAGGTGTCCAGTTTGAAGAGGCAGCGTTGTTCATGGTTCTTTCTGTGTACGCTGAAGTTTCATTTTCCATTCTGTGATGAACCAGAACTACAACGTGAGGTGAAGGAAAATCCCTCCTGACAACATGTGTAAAACTTCTCCAGTTAGTGGGTTTCCAGGGCAACAAGCCCCGCCCCATTTAATATTTTGCTGGCTGACTGAAAATAAGCAAAATTAAAGGAATGAAATATGTGGAAAAGATGTTGTGATTTCTGATGCATCACAAGAAAACGTGTCTCCCTAGAAAATGTGATCACTACTGCAGTTTAGTTGTTTACTTTTTGGGAAACGAGACTCAAAAACATGCTTCATGTGTTTATTATGCGTCATACGTGACAGCTTTCTGTATCTTCATTCTGTTGTGAACATGCGTAGATGAATTACTCGGACATCACAACGTGTCTTTGTCCTGCGCTGAGCCTCTTTCCAGTGTTTGGGTCACAGGTGAGCTGGTGTGCTTGTGCTGCAGTGAGTAGAGAGAAGCAGAAACTCAACAGAGCCGTTATAGTAGAATCAGCAGTATGGAGTTACATCTGAGCCGTTATGAGACTTTGAGGGATTATTTTCACGGAAAGAAAAACTTCTAAACATGTGATTTTAACACAAAGTCGAGTTTTAAGGGTTTTAATTACTGACCAGAGAGACTTTGAATCAATGCAAATTGCAGACTTGTTTCACTGCAATGATCTCCGGCTATCTGATGTAAGCAGCAACTTGGAATTAAGGATGAAGGCAATATCAGGCTATTCCAAATGTCATTTGGTGTTTATGACACACAGTACTTTTCTTATCTCCGGTGCTTCTTTATTCTTTTTTATATGCAGTAGAGGGTGGCATCAAAAATGCTTATGGTAAACTTTCAGTTTAGGGATAATACATAATCCTCCTTCATCCTTGTTAGCTCTTCTTTTGATTGCTTTTAACGTCATTTGGCACCGTCTTGCGCACGTCTTTGGTTATAAATCCGGCAATGCAGCCGAGGCTGTTGTGCTTTTGTCAGCATCTCAGTTCGGGAGCCAGCAGCACTCAAGTCCTGCAAGCTTTGCCAAATGGAGGGACATCTGTATGCGCCTGTAGCAAATTGATCCCAAAAAGGATCTACATTTGAAACAATCCAGATGTAAGGCCTGAAAGTACACGCTGAGGATTTGCTGTTGCCGATTAAGACATTTTACATTTGATAAGCAGACTACCTAGTCGACTGTAACCAGCGCTGCGTGACCCTGCGCATGTGTTTTCCGTGTTAACTAGGCCACTAGAAGAGCAAACCCAAACCATGGAAACCAAAATGGGACAAGCTTTTGTTTACGAGTAGGTGCAACCTCATTGGGGTTTTAGGTTCTACTTTTAACCCAGTTTGGGGAGTGAGTGACAGCTCAAAGCACAATTATATGTATGTATAATATGTTGCTTGTAAATAGTGTCGGGTCATCCGTCCGTAAGGCAGCTGCTGGCCAGATATTGCTTTATTGTGACCCTTCATAAATTGGAGACCTGCATGCAGCCGGTTTCCTCCCTCGAGCCGCTGCATATATGTTTAATGTGACCTATACCTGTGCCCTCCACGGGGGAAGTTGAATGCTGAGAAGCCTCATAGAAAAACACCCCCAGACATCACGCTGCCTCACCTCCGTGTTGATTTTTTAAAACCATGAAACCCCGTTGTGAGTCATCCGAACTCTGCCGAGGCCTTAAAGTTAAATTAATCTTACCCGCTATTTCCTCCCAGCGCCAAACAGCCGACGTGTACGACAGCTTTTATTCGGCATGTCGGATTGTTTTCTTGCCTTGATTGTGGTCATGGAAAAATCAGAGGTTTTTGAAGAAAACTGTGTGCGTGGTGGATTTGATTTCCGTGTCCCAGGCTTAATTTTTATTTATGTGTGTGTTCCTCGTGTATATCAAGGTCAGACTTGTGCCTAAATGGAGCTCTCCATCTGTAAGTGACCGATACCTGTGATCTGGAGGGACGCTGGGGTCTGACTGCTGTATGAATATGTTTGCTAAGTCCGGTCACGGTCGGCCGGCCCCCTACCCCCCCTGGGGTAAATGAGAAAAAAATGCACACAGATTCACTCTCCTTGTCTGCCGGTTTCCCTCCCGCACACACACACACACTAACATTCACATAAGTACACTATAAAAAAAATAAAAAACACCCCAAGCAGGTACATTCAGGTCTGCGAGCGTCGCTGCCAAAACCCACAAACAAGCCTGTTGTGCTGCAGCCAAGTCTGCCTTGGACCAGAGGAGGACGGCTATTCAAAGACGGCAGCCGCTTTGGTGACTGTGGAGAGTCGGGCGGCACAAAGAGCCAAAAACAGAGCAAAGCAAAAGAAGAAGGGACGAAAACAAACGGTGACTTACTGAATGGACGGAGGCGACACCACGGAGCAGAGGAGCAGCAACCCTCCAGCGGACGAGTCCTTGAGAGAAGCTCGAGATCATTCAAACAGAAAGACATGAGCAGGAAGTGACTCAGCCCCAACACATGCAGCGTTTTTTTAAATTTATTTTTTATTTTTTACAACATTACACAAGGGAGCAGAGAACATTCACATTAATGACCTCTGTAGAGGGTTGAATCCCAGCCACCGGACTGCAGGTTTGATTGAAAAGCATTTATCTTATTGCTGAACATTTAGTCAAGTTCAAATCAAAATCACAATTTAAAGCAAGACTTCTCACAGGCCGCTGTTCAGGATGTAAGCTGTGCAATGCAGGGTTTTAACTGTTGTGTCAGTAGTTTTATAAATTCGCGCTATCTTCTTGTTTCCAGTCGCACGTCTGATGGTATCTTCTGTGGAAATGTTTCACCACGTTTTAAATCCGTTTCACAGCTGAAGCTTGACTTAGAAAAAAGATCAGATTGCATTGTCTAAAAATCACTTACACATTTTCCCCAAACAGTTTAACCGTACTGTACATTTCTTTTGCCCTTTTTTTAGATAAACAGAAAATATTTTGATTTAAAGCTCTAGCGTATGGTTTGTGGTTAACTTTCTGGAGGCGGGGCGACGCCTACATCAGCGAGCGAAACCTTCAGAGATAGAACAGCATCTAACCACAGCTGCTCCGGTGAAGGACGGTCGTTTGCTGCTTCTAGCATCACGGTCACCTGCCAAGACTTCAGTGAACTTAAAAAAATACAAGAAACACTGAGCTGGGTTGCTGGTTAATCAGTTAATCGTTTTCAATTAGAGTGAAAGGCAGGATTTGTTCAGTATTCTTTTTATAGTATGATAGCGAACACAAAACTCTTTTTTTCCTTCCTTCACTGGTTGCTTTGTTCAACCTAATCATCAATACCATGCAAGAAATGCTGAATCCTGCTTTCCAAAGACAAACAGCACCCCCCTAGATACTAGCACCTAAATACTAAACTGTAGTACAGTACTTTGGTTTTACTTGTACTTTACTTGCTTATATACTTCTATTCCCTCCAAAACAAATTGCATGTGATGAACTGAGTCACTTTGCATATTCAGATCAATAATGCAAAAATATAATCAACAAATAACTCGTGATTTGTTGTGATTAGATTAGGATAAAACATTATTAATCTCCAAGTGGAAACTTGCCTCCAGCAGTAAACAAAGTCATTAAAATCAGTGTCACCTTCAGCAGCTGCAGCATTAACGGGATCAAATCATTACTTCATCAATAAATACGATCCAGTCGTGTATTATTCACTCTTCTGAAACGGGCCGTTCTGCAGGAGTACTTGTTACTTAAGGTATATTTATGTGGTTTTACTTCAGTAAACATTTAAATGCAAGACTTTTATTTGTCTGCTGCTGTTTCCAGGTGTGACTGCTTCGTTGTGCTGCTCGTGCGACGGCTCACGGTGCACATAGGTTAAAACACACTCTGTTCTGAACTCATATCACAGTGACACTTGGATCCCAATATGTGCGCAGGACTGGCAGCAGCTACAAACTGTCTGTTAGGAATTGGCAAGTACTTGTATTTGCTCTCTTTTCAGCAGTCAAATGATACCACTCTCACCGTCTATTCAGAGGGAATCTGCAGCGAGCGGAAGATTATCTTAGCTTAGCATAATGGAAACGTGGAGAAAAGACTCGCTGGAATCTGTCCAGAGATAACAAAACCCACCTATCTGCACGTCTAAAACTTACTGTTTGGACAAGTGAAATATATAAATGTGCACAAAAACCTAAATGTGAAGCTGCAGACTGACCAGCTGTGGCTTCATATCTGCTTTAGACATGTGTGAGTGCGATCAGTCTTCTTACCAAATGGATATTTACAGAAATGTTTACCTGTCTTGAGCAGGGATCTCCAACTCCGGTCCACGTGAGCTACTGTCCTGCAGGATTTAGGTGTTACTGCAACACATCTGACTCACATCAATGGATCTCCAACAGCTTGTTGTCAAGTTCTGTTAATGATCTGATAACTTGAATCAGGTGAAACGTCTAAAACCTGCAGGACAGATGCTCACGAGGACCGGAGATGGAGATCTCTGGTTTAGAGGAACAAACTAACGTGTTAAAAGCAAGTTTTGCATGCTTAAACACACAGTAAATGCTTTATGCTTTCCGATGTAGTTAACTATTTCACTGTGTGCTGTAAAGTTTTTGTGTTTTTAGATTTCTTTCTCCCATCGTTTCAGCCACAGGTCATTCATGTGCATGCGGTGTGAAAATCCGTTAGACCTGTACAACTTGCTTAAGTTTTGCAAAGTTTTAACGAGTCACCGTGAGCATCGCGTCTGCGTTGCATCATCGCTGCTCTCATGTCGCAATGCAGAAACGCACGACATCGTCTCAGAACAATTACGTAACTTCTCTCTGTGATTACTCAAATTTTGCTTTACAAAAATAAACGGAAGCCGGTCGATAATTCAAATAGCAGAAAAACGTACGCTTGAATGTCTTAAACACACGGTTTGCAGGATGTATGTTACCTGCACACGTGTGTGTTTAAACTACAGCAAAATCGGTGGCGTGAGCTTTTAATTGTTTACTGGAAAGAAGAAGAAATGACGAAAGTACAGTATGCAGAAGTTCTGACGTGTGGATTTTCATTGTCTGTCTGGAGAGGAAATAATATTTACTTTATAGTTTTCATTAATGGGATTGAGAAATGTGCGAGGCTTTGAGCAGATGACAACTTCTGGCCCAGTTCCTGCCAGCGAGGCGAGGCAAAACGGGGCCAGAAGGCATTCTCACAGCT